GCATTTGAAGTCAGGACCAAGTGCCTCACTGACCTCAGAAACACAAACCTAGCCTCTTGACTAGAAGCACTTTTTATTATTATTTTATGCTATTTCTGTGTGTAAGTGCTTGCCCTGCCACAGCTACTGATGTTACATAAAACTCAAGGGTGTATTCTACAGGGACAACAAAAATGTGAAGGAAGCTGTTGGACACAAACTGTTGGAACTCTGGGTTTTTTTTAACCTTGGAAAGTATTTACATTACTGACCCTTAAGCTACTTCTTTAACATTTACTCTGTACTTTTAATCAAAGTTTAGGAAGGTTTTCTTTATAACCATTTAACAAACATGTTGTGGTAAACAAGTTTAGTATATATAAACAAGTTTAGTATATATAAAGGTTTTTAGCCTTTTTTCATATAATTTCCCTCAAGATAATAACATGCATTATCATTTCCCTGGATTCAGTTAGACCATATATGTTTTTAAGAAAAACTGGAGAGTACACATTTATTCTCTCACATTACTCTTTAGAAAAAAAAATTATTCTTTGTATAATGTAGTCATGATTTAGAGAACACATAAATCTTCACACTGTTACTCCATTCATGTGTTGTTTTTGTTTTTTTTTTCCTAACTGCCATGCCAAATTAATCCCTGGTGCAATATTGTGTCACCAGTAAAGCTGCACCACTTGTCTGGACTCTAGTTTTAATTGAAAGATTTATCATTCCACAGTTTCTTTGTCTTCTGTACTTAGTACATGGATCCTTGGAAACCCTGACTGCTTTGCCATTACTGTCTCTTTTCTTTATATAGTGTATCTTTTTCTTGTTTTTTAATCATGGTTTCTCTTAAAGGAATGTGTGGAAAGTTTTCTCATATAAGCAAAATAAAAAGCCCTACTGTGATTTGTACTTGACTCATAGAGGTACAGTTATGCAACTTTATTTAGCTTGTTATGTTTATTGCACTTTATTAAATAATTTGTTATTGATAATGTTTAATTGGACAAATTGTATTATGATTAAATGCAATAGCTTGTTCTTCCTCACATACTTAATTGCTAAAACCAAGAATGCTAAGGGGTTTGGAGAATTGATGAACAGAGTTGGGGGTTTTAATTGCAAAGATCCAGGATTGATTAATATTTTAAATACTTCTGTGATACTCTACACAGAATATCCACAAGAGGGAACTGTTTTACATAAAGAGGAGTCATTCCCTTGCTGCTAAAACACTGCTTTCTGGAACCAAATCCTCCAGAATTACATTGAGTAGGCATGATTTTGTCCTGGACTGTGCTACACGGTAAGAATGGGAAAACACAGGTCAGCACAGTGTTTGTTATGTTCTGTAAATAGTACTGTTAACCAAGTAAATTTTGAGCTCTTGTGTTGAAATATTAAATAGACAACTAATCTGAAAACTAATTCATTGAAGTTTCCTGTTTGTTTGGAATAGATCTCTCCAGGATGCAGAGCTTGAAAATCTTGTTTAGTCTGAAGGCAGCATGAAATGGAGTTGTTGCCTCAGTAAATGAAGCATACAGCCCCAGGGGGCTTTCTCAAACTCTGCTTTATAGAGCCTACACTGGAAAGCTGGCCTTTCTTTATTCATAAAGGAGTAAGCTCATATGGGACTTAATGGAAGGGGTATTCATTTAAGGATCATTTTTACCTCTGTCTATGAATAGGTGAACACAATACAGTTACCTACTTTGGTTTGTCTTTTGCAGATATTTCCTAGTAAGGAAACTTTCAAGTGCTAAGGCAAGTCTTACCAATTCATATCAATATTTACTTTTCAGTGTGAGTTTCATGGTAAATATTTGTAGAACTGAGCCATATTTATGTAAATAAAAGTTTTGTTTATACGGATAAAACAAAAGGTTTTCCCCTGGACATATAGTGTGAAATTTATATACTTGGACTCATACTGTATGTGTCGGTTGGTTTATTAACAGTTTTTGAGCATCAGAACCTAAAAGCTGCCTTTAACAAGTGATCACAATAAATCTCCTATCCCTGTCCAAATCTACATGTAAACTCTATGTGAACATGTTTGAATCAAATTATTCAAACATACAGACTACATTTTGTGGTGCACTTGCTTTGCTTTAGTCTGAGTTTTTCTTTAGGACCACCTTTGGTATGTGTGGGTACAGTATTATGGGGATGATATTTGAGAAGCGCCTAATGAACCTGTTTGCATCTGGAGCGCTCGTGAAAACAGTGTCCGCACTGCTCAGCTGCAGCAGTATTGAGTCCAATAAATGCTTTTTAACTCGTACCTTCTGAATGTATAAAGCAAGAAAATGTATTTTCAGACTGCAGCCTCTCTGTCAAATCTTCTGGGCCCTCTCAAAGAGCAGCAAAAGAGGATGTATGTCACAGCCATGGCTTCAGAGACTCAGTTCTTGTTATCTGCCAGACCAGAATACGGAAGAAATTCCACCACACAAAAGCCTTCCCTGGGATATGCTGTGCAGCTGCTCTTCATTGTCCTCATCTTTCACGGTGCACAGGGCTTGTAGTTTCTGTTAGCTGTAAGAGTGCCTGTAAGTACCTGGCACTTCTGAAGATCAGACATCAAGTGCCTGTGTTAGGATGCTCCTGCCCTTGTTCCACTCCTGGTGTTTGCTGATGGATAAAAAGATCCCTAGGTGTGTGTGCAGCTGTGAAAAGGGTGTTCCTCACAGAATGCAGAGCAAATGACCATGGGGACCAGGTTCTGAGCCCAGGACCCAGGGTTGTATGATCCTGTCATGGCAATACTTCACAGTCCAGGTGGCTCTCAGCTGGGGAGGGCTGATAATGAAAAGACATGGGAGGGGGCAGCAGCTGTGGCAGCACAGTCTGGGCTTGCATGTGGCAGCTGTGACAGGCAGTTTCTTTTCAATCTGTCTAGTTTTCTGCATCTAGAAATCCCCAACCAAATTCCATTACAACAGTCTCCTGGGAATAGCCTGCTCCAGGTCTGCTATGTAACTGACCGTTTTTCTTGGGGAAAAAGCAATGTAGCATTTTTCTCATCTGTGTACACTTCCATATCATTATCTAATGCCTGCTCTATTCCGAGGCCCCTATCAAACCCTTCTGGAAAAAGGAAGCCTTCTCTTGAAGGAACACACTGGAGGGGCAGACTGGAAAGAGACAACATGATGAACTCACAGAGTCAGACAAACAGTGGTACTATTGCATGAAAAAAGTGGGGGTGAGAGGGTTAGAGAGCCCCATAAAAAGCTTTGGGAACTCATAAAATCTCATTACCTTCACTTAAGTAGGAAACAAAAACAAACAAGCCCCTGGCAGATGCAGAAACAGAAACTACTACTACTAAAGGTTAAGAGATTACTATTTCATAATGGTGGTTCTCTGCTGGTATAGCAACTAGATAAGATGGGGGAATGTCACGCACACAAAGGCTGTTGTATTTTACCCTTGGAAAGATGTCAAGAAGATCTGCATAATACTTTGTACAGACAACCCAGTGAGCAGACCATGTGCCAAATGGAGATTTTGATTTATGTATAAATAAATACCCATATAGACATATAAATGTCTCTGCTTTTCAACGTGAATCTGAAAAAAAAAGTAGAAGATGACTATCCAGATTTTCACCCCCATCCTCCCCAAAGGTGTCATTTAAATCTGTTATTTATACTCCTAAGGGTTAAATTCAGGAATGTTCTTGGGATGTGCGGCAATTTACGGCGTGTTTGCGGAGCGTTTGCAGTACTTGCCCGTGTCAATTAAAGACAAGCCACGAATGCCTTCAGCGGAAAAACCCACGCCGCGGTCCCCGATGTTTATTTCACGCTCCCTTAGCGCGTTTCCATGCCAGCTCCCCCCTCCCGCGCCGTGCGCATCCCCAGGCACCTGCTGCTGCAGCTCAACCGCCTCCTGCGCGTCCCGAGCGCGCCCCGCTCCCTCCCTCCCTCCCCCGCTGCCCCCGGCTGCAGCCCCGGGCCCGCCGCCCTCGAGGGCGCCCTTGCGGCCGCGCTGCGGAGGGGTCGCGCTGGTCGCGGTGCCGCGCTGCGCGGCGGGCGAGGGATGCGGGCGATGGGCGCGGGGGCCCGGCGGGGCTGCGGGGGCCGGGGCCGTGACTGCGCCGTGCGTTGGCCGCTGCGTCATGACATCCTTCGAACCGGCCCCGCGCACGGCCGGCGCGGGGGGGCCGCTGCCGCCTGCCCCCGCCCCACCGCGGCTGCGGAGAGCGCGGCGCGGCGGCGATGGACGCGCCAGGGCCGGCGGGACTTGTTGGACCGGCAGCTCCCCGGCGCGGCCGGGCACCGCCTCGCCGCCACCTGTGAAGCGCCCGCCTCGGCACACAGTCCCCGCTCCCGCCTCGCCGTCCTCCGGAGCGGGCGCTCGGCGCTTCGGCGGCGCCGCGAGCTGGACCGAGCGGCTGCGGAGCGGGGAGCGCTGCCCATGGGGCGCCGGGAGCCCGCCTGAGCCGGCGCACCCACCCCCGGCGGCAGCCGCAGCGCGGCACCCCCGGCCCGAGGGGCCTTTGATGCGCCCCCGGAGCGGCCGCGGCTGCGGGCGCGGGGCCGTCGCGTCCCCCGGCGGCACAGAGGGAGGGGCGGGAGCCGGCGGCGCCGCTGCGCGTGTGGGAGCAACAGCCTGAGCGACAGCCGGGCCCTGGAGGGAGCTCCCGAAGGATGGGCGAGGAGGCGGCGGCAGCGGCAGCGCACGCACAGATGGGCCAGCGGAGGATGAATTAGGAGCCACAGGAGGCTGCTGCTGGCACCGAGGGGGGAAGAAGAGAGGAAGGGGCTGGACTTGAAAGAGGAGGAGGAGGAGGAGGGTGCGCGGGTGGGGTGACTGAGTATCGCTGATAACAAGTTAAAGACTAATAACAATAATAACAGACCACCTCCGGGAGGATCCGCGGCGGAGGCTGAGTGAGGGATCCCCGCTGGGGCCAGCGGGGTCGCAGCGCTGGGTATCTTGGAGAGACGCTCAGAGGCATCAGTTTGTGGTGGTGGTGGATGATTTTTTTTTGGGGGTGGGCGGGGTAGGGGCTGTGTATGCGGGAGAAGGAAGGGGTGGGAATCTGAGGAGGAGACTATATTTTTATTATTATTTTAAATTTTTTTCTAATATTATTTTCGCCGTACAAAGAGGACGCTCGGAATTCACCGGCCTGTCGGCTCCCGAGAGGGACCCGGGAATTGTGCGGTCGCTTTTCTTCACCTGCTTTTTTTTTTTTTTTTGGGTTGTTTGTTTGTTTGATTGGTTTGGTTTTTTTTGTTTGTTTTGACTGGGGGCTTTTTATTTTTATTACTCTCCTTATCCTTTCCCGCTGAGCAGCGGCGGCAGCAGCAGCAATATGGCTGGTGATGGGCTTTTTGGGGGGCGCTGGCGGCGGGAGGAGCTCTCGGAAGCCCCTGCGCGCCCGGCTCGCTGTTAGCTATGGCAAATGGCAGCGGCGGCGGCTCCTACCCGGGCGGCAGCGGCAGCGGCATTAGAATGAGTAACAATATCAACGCCAACAATCTCAACACAGACTCGTCCTCCTCCCCCGTCAATGTGCCCAAGATGGATGCGCTCATCATCCCGGTGACCATGGAGGTGCCCTGCGATAGCCGCGGACAGCGCATGTGGTGGGCTTTCCTCGCCTCATCCATGGTTACTTTCTTTGGGGGACTGTTTATCATCCTGCTGTGGAGGACCCTCAAGTACCTGTGGACTGTCTGCTGCCACTGCGGGGTCAAAAACAAGGTAACTCCCCCTTCCCTTCCCTCCCCTGCTGCTGCCGGTGGTGGTTCGGTGCGGTGGTGGTGCTGAGGAGGAGCAGAGGCCAGCAGGACACCTGGGCGAGGTGGCGGCGGGTGCTGATGGCAGTGTGCGGGCTGCTCCTGGCTGGGGGCTGCCGCCGGCTGCTGCGAGCTGCAGCGTGGGCAGTGTAGCTGGGGGTGAGGTGGTGGGTGCAGTCCCCAGGCGCCTCCCCGATCCCCCTGCTCTGTTCCACGGCACGCAGACGAAAACTCGCTCGTTTTCGCGTGGTGGCATGAAAGTTACACCTGGTGTGCGACGCTCACCCTGCCCGAGAGGCACATGCTGGTGTGGTGGGACGGTGCAGATCAGAAGTTTATATGCACCCTTGGGGCCTCGTATGATGGGGTGGGAGCTTGCATATCCTGATCTAAACTCTTAGTTGCCTTGTGGAATGAGAAACTTGGGCAAAATTTAAAGGGTAAATTTCTCACTCAAGTGAATCTTTATAAAGCTAGTTCCATTCCCTGAGCATCTTGGACGTTTCTGCTTGTTAAATTAAGTGTATCTATCTAGAAGTATTCTGTACATTTGTAAGTATTCTCTTAACCTAAGTGTGAAGTCTTTGAGACAGCCTTTTGTGCCCCTTTGATTTTTGTATATTTCCAGCTGGAAGAAAGCATAGTATGTGAAATAAGTTCAGTTTCTGCTTTGAAGGGTCTATTTTCAAACCAAAGCTAAGAACTTGCTCAAGTCCAGACTTTCGTTTTTGATTACGAAAAATGAGATTGAAAGTGTTACCACTCTGTATTGTGAAAGTGTATTTTGACAGACCCCAAAATAGACCAGCAACTGGAGTTTCTCCCCTTCCCTTTTCACATTTTTTGAATTACAAATGGAATAATATCTGCTTCAGTTATTCCTGGCACACAGACACCCACAAAAACACACACACCTTTTAATATATGGTTGCTAGGTTTCTGGTTTGCTTTGACGTACAGTGAGCTGTCTTCCCCTTTCTGCTGTCCCCTCCCCCCTAAACACACAGCACATACACCAGCTCTGTGAAGGTCCCTGCAATTAGGGGAAACCAGGAACAAAGTTAGAGCATGAGAAGTTATGCTACTTGTCTCTTGTGTAGTTTGGGTTGCCTAAATGAACCTCCACATTCCAATTGGAAGTTAAACTCTTACAGTGAACTTGCCTGTCTATGGAAGGAGTGATTGCTAAAGTTAAGGAATAAAAGGTTTTAAGTCAGCCTTAAGTGTCAGGAATCCTATCAGGCAGCACTACTTTTCTGTAGACTTTTTTTTTTTTTATTCAAAACCAAACCTGAACTGTCTTAGAGATGTGTTAGACAGGTATGATGACACAGCTCTAATGAATTTGTGATAATAAGACACTATTTCCTACAGAAGTAAAAGGCAATTTTCAAGGAAGGGTGAATAGTGAAGACTTAAGCTTTGGCTTTGTTGTGTATTTAGCATTTCTGCCTCCACAGAATGAGACAAATCTACAAAGGCTCTCAGGGATCTTGACGAAAAAGAAAAATCTGCGTGTTATTACCTCATACTTCTTCCCTTGTGAGAGTAAAAAGTTAGAGGCTTGTATGCAGACTTCCTATCCATGGTTTCTTGATAGGTACTGTTGGTCAGATAGTCCATTACTGGGACACAGTCAGTTAAAACAGATTAGTAATTTCTTAACCAGTATAGAAAGATATGTGCAAATTGTTTTTAAAACCTCTTGCGCCAAATGTGGCAGTTTAGTAACAGGCTTTGTTGAGGGGTTCAAATGCTTCCAGTCCCAACAGTTTGATGTTCTGTGGCTATGGCAGGTTGTAAAATTTCAGTTTATTTCATCTTTGAGACTGAAGTAGTTCCATGAATGTCATTCCCTGGGGCAGGAGGATAAAGGGCTCTGCAGGTAGGGGGAGATATATGTCTCCTTTTGAATCCTATTTGTTCCACTTACAAGGATTTTCAAGACTCTGGCAAAGAAGAACTTTCAAGGGCTGATCCTGCATTCCTTATATGATAAAATGGGGAATTGGAGGGAATTCTGTGTACGCAAGAACATTAGTTATAACTAGTTATTGCAAAACACTTTTCTAGTATTTAGGGTATGAAGGCTGACTGAAGTAACAACTGGAATTATCTGAAACTTTGCTGTTATCAAGCACATGCTTTGTTGCTTGGTGAGTTGGGAAGAGCTGCCGAGGCTGCTGGAGAGAACTGTGCATGCATACATATGCTGTGTTGACTCTATTGGGCCTGCTGCAAAAGCAGTTTTAGAAGAAGTAGCTCCTCCTACTGCAGGATTGAAGAAGTTTTCTGCATGTTAGGAGCTTTCCTTTCCTCTGCTGCCTCTTCTGTTGCTCCACAGGTTGCAGGGGAGTTGGGCTGTCCAGCATCATCTCACTATCTACATAAAGAGCAGTCCCAGTGAGTGAGCTAAGAGAAATCTTCCTCATGTCTGCTTTCTGTGGCCTCTTATTGAATAATTCTAAAATATATGTGAATAATTCAGAGTTACTGTGCTAACACTCATGTCTGTATCTGTTATTGCAAAGAACTGCAAAAAGTTTCATTTTTTTTCTCCCTGCTATATTCTAAGCATGACATTGTATTCCATGGATTTGTCGATGATTGTTTGGGATGTAAAACTTTTTACTGACTATGTAGAAGGATTTAGAGTGTGGTTTGTTTGGAGTGTCCCGCTCTTCAACTCATTTAATTTAAAGCCAGAATTTAAAACCATGATAGAAACAGTTTATTACTTTGTGGTATGAAATTTCATTAATTCTTTTTTCCCTTGGAGATAAGAAAGTCAAGATACTATAAGTCAAGAATATGAAAACTGCTAACAGAATTAACAGAATCAATCAACATTGTCCCTTAAAATTCTGTATCTAATTTATGTAATTGTATATGAATAGAGCATCACTCTTAATCATGTACTAAAAATGGTTGTTGAAGTTTTAGGATTTTCATGCTCCATACTTGCTTTGTGAATTGGCATTAAAAAAGAAACTGCCCAAAAAAATGTAAATCTTTACCTTTGTTGTCAGTGTTTCATGTAGTGTGACAGTCATTACTATCAGAGCCCTTGTATTTCTTTATTTAATATGGTATATAATTTTAGATGCAATTTTTCAAAGTTAGCTACAGTCTATTTGCAACCAGCCTTGAAAAATGCTGGTTTTCTTCTCAGTGTTTACGTTTAGTAGTGCTTAGATACTGCTAAAGAACTTGTCTGGTCATTGCTTGTTTTTTCTCCCTTGACCGACTAATTTCTGTTTGTGTATGAAAAGTAGAATGTGAGATTAAACTTCATTGGGCTGGACTCCAACATTAGTTGTTCTTGTTTGTGGTAACAGCAGGAAAATAAAATAAATATGCATGGTAATATACACATAGGGGCTAAATGCATATTATACAATCTATAGTTATTTTGGTTATATGGATCTGCCTCTGTCTATGCTCCTGGAGGGCTTTTTCTGCTGACATTATCTGTTATGTCTTTGAACAAACTCTAAAACCATGAAGAAGGAGGAGGTGACTGAGAGAACACAGGTTTGCGGCACAGGCAGCTCCTGGAGCTGGTCAGTGCAAACTCAAATGGAATTTGTTTCCTTTTGAAGAATACGATACCAGACCCTTTATTGCTCTTGTTTCCCCAGTGAAGGGTACCTCTTACGGACCTTATGTCATCAGGCTCTAGCAGGTAGAATACATCCTTATTGTGATGCTTTCAGTGTTTTGGAAGGGCTTTTCCTCCCCACAACCCAGGACTTGTACACATATCAAATGAAATTATGATTATAGGTAGCAGTTGTTAGCCTGAACTTACAAGCCCTAATAGTCTTCTTTGACCTTGGTCAACATGTTTTTGAAATGTAGTGTTATGCAGTGTGTTTTATTCAGTAGAAACCAAGCAACATGTCCATTTGTTTTGAACAGAAAAAACCCTTGTTTTGCTGGAAATACAGTATTTGCAGAAGTCGTCTTTGAAAAGTTAAGAATTTTAACCCATAATTCTAAAGCCTGAGAAAATTTGTAAGTGGAAAAATTTAAGTTGTCCGTAAAACAAGCAGTATTCATTCCAGGCTGGCTCTGGTGTGGGCGAGGCTTGTTGATTTCTGAGTAATACCTGCATAAACGTCCTCTCCAAATAAAGAAAAGGAGTTGAAGCGCGATCTGTTGAGAAAAGTTCGAGTGTCCACTGGAAGACACGCGTGGACACATAATGCAGGAGATCCCTTCATTTAAATCCGTGCATGGCATCGTCACCTTGACTCTCTTGGAGATGAGCAGGGCAGCAGCGTATGATGAACAACTGGGAGGCTCAGGGGATTAGCGGGAGCTGTAATGCATTTTGCTGCTGGGTCACATGCCCAGCCTGGCTCAGTCCTTCCTGTCTCATGGCTGTCAGGTGGTCTGCACGCAGTCGCTCCGTGAGAGCCTCACCAGACAGGTTGCCAGTTGAGAGGTGGCCATGGTGGAGAGGTCAAGCTCTGAGAGAAAAAGCACTCACAGCCCTTTGTGCTTTCTACAAGCAGAGACGGGTGCTGGTTTGGAGGGGAGCATGCTGCTGTTTTCCATGCTCTGAAAAGGAAGATACTTCTGGTTCTCTGGAGCTTAGAAAGGATTTCACATTTTATAAATGCATGCTAAATAAAATAGGTTTCTGCATACAGAAAAGAGAATGCATAGATAAGGATATAACCCGTAAACCAAACATTCTCAACCAAAATGTTATTTTGGTACAGTATCATATTTGTTTTCAAGGCTTTGCAACACATACATTTAAGGAGAACATCTGCATGCAAAAAGAACTTGAAAATCTCACATTTGCAAATCTGTAAGTGCTGGTTGAAAACCATTAGATTTCACTTTTTTCCCAATTTAGCTCAATAGAAGACATGCCTGTAGAAAACAAAAAGCTTTTAAGTAACACTGATCCGTGTACTCAGTTTGGATGCACTGGGATTTCTGAATGCAGAA